AAAAAAAAGAAAAAGAGAAAACAAGATTAAACTTCCTACTCTGTGTGGACAAAAATGTCCTCACCCCAGTGAAAAGAAATCAGCGCTCAGTATCACACCTGCTTTCATGGAGCTTTGTTCTGGCTAAGAAGATTACTTGGGAAATCTGACTGGTTTGTGCTCTTCCAATTTTTCTGTGGTTACTTTCTGATTCTCTGGTCCATATGTCCAAGAGTGGACTTGGAATGGGAAACCAGTCTTTGTTGTGCTCAGAGAAGGGATTCAGGACACACAATGAGAGGACAACACAGTGAAGACATGAGGCTATAAATTCCTTTAGCTCCCTTCCTCCCTCCCCTTCCCCCCCCCCCACAGGTTCCAAGCTTTAGAATGGGGAAGGGCAAGGTTATAACCAGAGTTTTGCCACTAAGGCAGGATACCACTATTACCTGTGAACAGGTGTGAGGAATGCTGAGGGGGAAAGAAAGCGGGGTTGCTAGGTAAAGCGCTTTCCCTTAGGGAGGGCAGAAAAGCAGATGAGGCATTTCTAAGCTTCTTCTCAGAGGAGCCCACAGGGGGAGCACTTTTGAAGAATAGGTTCTATGCGAGAACTTTTAATTGCCTTCTCCCTCCTTGAATGCTAAACCAGAACCTTACACTCAGTTCACAGATAATGGCCAGATCATTTTCCCAGAGTCAGACTACCATATCTTCTCCTACCCCAATCCACCGTCACGAGGCTTCACGAGATGGGACACTGTAGCCATGGTGGCTCCATTCTGGGATGACGCTGATTTTTCCAACCACAGAGGGGCCATGTTTTACCAGGTGGGTGTTTACATTGGAAATGTTATCATTACAGCATAGATTCATGTGAGCAGGGACTGAGGCTTAAATATGGGGAAGGGAGAAAATCAAAGAGACTCAAAAATACCTCAACCCAACTGTATGAAGACCTGCAGGTGAAAAAGATGGGTGTGGTAATTCAGTGTTGGATTTAAAAATGAGGTTACTCAGGATCTATCCTAATTCAGACTTCTGAATTAGGTAGATTTAGATCACTTTGGTGCTCCTGGATTGAATGGGATGATTTCAGCCAATGCAGCAAATGTGGTTTGAGTCCTTACCATGGACAAGGTACTATAGAGTCTCCAACAATGGAGAACCAGCTGCCAGTCCCCATGCAAGTCAGACATGGGAAGGTAAATAGATACATGTGGTCACACTATCTTTAGTCAGTTTGAGCTAAGAGATGCGACAGTTAAGTCCAGAGAACTGGGAATTCTGGGTTGGGACCCTCTAGTCCACAGAGCGTAGGCTTCCTTGTAGCTCAAATGTTAACTGATCTTAAATGAGAAGAGCTCATTGGAAAGGCTCAGGCCTGAGACAGGGAGGGACAAGTGGCATGATACAGTAATATGAACAGGATTCTTAAGCATAAAGTGGGAGGGGGCGGGGCTCCCAGGGGTGTTGAATGGGTCCTACCTTGCTTTTATCTGCCTTCTGTTTCCTAGGAATATGAGACACTCTATGGTGAATATAACTCACTCGTTAGGCAGGTGGATACTTGGATTAAACAGTTCACAGATTCCTGGGACTACAATGCCAAGTGGACCCTAAAGATTACATGGGTCAAAGTACCTGCCTATCCTGCCCAGTGGACCATTGGGGTGAGTGGACCATGGATAGAGCCCAGTGAATTATCTAGGGGTTAGACATCCTAGAATTCTAGATAAGAGCTTGTCTCCTGAATCCCTTCTGTCTTGAGGAAAGATTGGGAATCAGAGCAACGCCATCCTACCCTTACCTCCACCCCCAGCATTACCATTCGAACATGGTGCCAGGCCTGCCTCACAAACATAAACTCACAGCAGCTCAGTCACATAGGAAATGGCTTTCCCCCCCCCAAAAAAAAAGTCTGGATATTGGTAATTTCATATGAGTTATATTAATCAGATTTTGTTGCTGTAACAAAATACCAGACACAGGCCACTTACGAGTTTTATTTAGTTCACAGTTCTGTAGGCCAAAAGTCCAAACAGCATGGTGCGGACTCTCAGTCTGCCTTGCCTCATGGGAGTGTGTGCAGTAATTACATATTGAACCAGGAACAGGGAGGATGTCTGGGGCCAGGCTTGCTTCTTCTATAATAATTGTACTGGGAGAACACAAAGAGTTACTCAATTGTCTGCCGGCTCCAATGACCTAAAGACATCTCACTAGGCTCCGTCTCTTAAAGGCTCCATCACTTCTTAATACCACCATGCGGAAAATCAAGCCTCCAAACAAATAAACCTCCAAACAAGGAAGAGTGACACAATGAAATTATAGCTGAGCTATAGCATGGCTCAACCTCCTACTTTTATGCACATTTTAGAGGTGAGGAAAGCAGTGGTTAGCAAAGATTACAATTTTCTGTTATTCAGCTAGAAAATGACAGAGCGAGCCCCCCCCAACTCTACCCTTAAACACAGTATCACCTGAGGGAATGGGGTGCCACACAATCTCCATAATTCTTTCTAAGTACCTCCAGCCCTTAAAGCATCAAATTCTTAAGTAAAGTCACTTGTTCAATCTCTCAGCAAATAAATAACTTATTTTGGACAAGGCCTGTGCCTCCAAAGGGCCCCAGTCTCACCTCCAGTGGGTCTTCCAGGGGACATTTGAATCTCCAAGATAACCCAGGAAGCTACCAGCCCTGGTGTCTTGCCTACTCGCTCAGGCTCCTGTAGCTTTCTCTTATAACCTCTCCTAACTGGGATGTAGGCCAGAGCCTTTCATCTCCTCTCTGTGGAACCAGAGTCACAAAGAAGGCAAATACACCATGGTAAATGCTTTCACACCACATGGATGCTCAAACCAGCTGAACACTTACCTGTGTTTTTAATCCACGTGATGTGTGTGTCAGGCCAGGGGTGTGGGCTAGGTATGGGACACCAGGGAGGAGAACCCAGGCTTCTCATGGGCATCATTATCTTTGTCTCCCATCAATCCCCAGACCAACACCTACCAGGCCATCCTCACCACAGATGGCAGCAGGTCCTATGCCCTGTTTCTCTACCAGAGAGGTGGGATGCAATGGGACGTGACCCAGCGCCGGCACAGCTCGGTTGTCATGGGGTTTTCCAGGTAGGACAGGGGCGCCAGAGAACGGGGAGGGAGGTCATAGAATGCAGGTGGCTACACTTACTCCCATCCTGGGATCAAGGCATACATGTCTTGTGATGAGATGACTCACACTGACCCCAGTTCCCACAGAGCCTTTCTCCTTGCTGTTTCCAATGGAAAGATCCCATCTATCCTGCCATCTTTCCTGTCCCCAATCCCTAGGCACTATGGTAATTCAACCTCAACTTCCCTCATTTCCATTGACATTAGTTGACTCCTTTTGGTATCTCAAACACCGGAATAATAACAGCCAACTTTATTATGCTAAATACTTTATCTACATCATCTCATTGCTTATCATAAATACCCGAGAGGTAGATATTATTTTTATGAGCCTCATTCTGCAGATAAGAAACTCTAGGGAGGATGGGAAGGGATGGGAAGGGGAAACAAAGGAGGAGGCTACAATGCTTGATAAGAAATGTACTCATTATCTTGCCCATGTAATTGTAACCCCTCTGTACAGTATTTTCACAATAAAAAATAATTAAATAAATTTTTAAAAAAGAAACTCTAGTGGTAAATACATAATTTGTTCCAACTCAGAGTTAGGAAGTGATGAAGAGGGCAAGGATTTGAACTCAGACATTTGAGGCTGAAATCTGCCTTCTTGATTCCTGAGAATTAGCCATCTACCCAGGGACACCCTGTAGCATAGATATGGGAAGGCAGAAGGAAGGGGCTGCAGATGGTGTCTAGAGGATTCCCACAGGCTTCAGTCTCTGAGACAACTGTTCCCAACCAAATGTGTCATGTATGGTAATCAGTGTATGAAGATCATTTGTTACTGCTAATTGCTGCAAATGGTTTTCTCTCATGGTAGTATGTGTTCAGGTTGCCCTATAATTACATTACTTGCTTTTTGATGTGCTGTGGAATTGCCTAGGTAGCTAGAAATTTCACATCAGCAGGTTGCTGGTAGCTCACACTGTAATCTAGGTACTCAGAAGGCTGAAATCTGAGGATCGCAGTTCTAAGTCAGCCCAAGCGGAGAAGTCCCCATAAGACTCATATCTCCAATTAACCACTCAAAAACTGGAAATAGAGCTATTACTCAAAGTGACAGAGTGCTAGCCATGAGTGAAAGAGCTCAGGAATAGTGCCCAGGGCCAGCATTCAAGTCCTACAACTGACAAAAAAAATTCACATCAACCTGAGAACACCTAACACAAGTGTCATTCATCTGTGTGTAAATAGCCTGTGTTACAAAGGAGCAAAACTCAGGAGGTGCTGTCCTGTGACACTCACTCACAGAGAGTCCAGTTGCACCCCCACCCCCACCCCCACCCAGGGCTACTGCTGCAGGCTCTCTTCCATCCTGGACCCACAGTGAGGAAGCTATACATGGTAGCTCCTTCATATAGGTCCCTGCTTGGTTCTGAGGGATTCACAGATGTTACTGCATTAAATCTTCACATCTCTCAGGTAGATGCTACTTTAATCTCTTTCAGATGTGAGAACCAAGAATAAGGGATGTAAAATAACTTGCCCCAGCTGGCCACCAAGTAAATGTTGCAATGTGTAGTTGAATCCAAGACTGCCTAATTCTATAAGAGCTATAGAATTCTATAGCTCTGAGTCATTGCAACGTTCTGTCTTCTACAGTGTCCCTCTCCTTTCCTAGTTAAGAGAAACAGGCAGGAGGCCTGAACTCTGTTGTTTCATACATACTTATCCCATCCATGACCAAGGAGTCTGCCAGTTTCTTGCGATCATCAATAATAAAACAAGGCAGAGCCTTTTTTTTTTGTCAGTTGGGGGACTTGAACTCTGGGCCTGGGCACTGTCCCTCAGCTCTTTAGCCAAAGGCTAGTGCTCTACCACTTGAGCCACAGTGCCACTTCTGCTTTTTTCTATTTATGTGGTGCTGAGGAATCGAACCCAGGTCCTTATGCATATGAGGCAAGCGCTCTACCACTGAGCCACCTTCCCAGCCCCAAGGCAGGGGCTTTCTACCCTTGCCCCTTGTTCCCTCTCCTCTCATCCTTAGTCCTGGGACTCAGGCTGGATGCCCAACTGACCCACTGAGTAGCAGGCTGCCCCACTGACTGCAGACTAGCTGGGCTGAGTGCTGGCTGCCTGACAAGCTGAATGAGTTACTTCCAGCTAAGAGCCTGTGTGTGACACAGAGAAGTCTAAATGTCTTCCCTTTGCCTGCAGTGGAGATGGGTATTTTGAAAACAGCCCATTGATGTCCCAGCCTGTGTGGAAGAAGTACCGTCCAGACCAATTCCTGGATCCCAAATTAGGTAAAAAAAAAAAAAAATGAATGTCATCTGTCACACATGCACTGCCTCTCCGTATGTCACAACAGTCCTCACAGACAGCCCCCTAACCTCTCCACCACCCTGAAGGGCATCCCGCATGGGCTGACCACCTACAGGTACTCTCCAGACCTAGACTGGCTTGGGGAGCAACTAGTACCTCTCATAGCCATAACCACAGCACAGCCTCCTCAATCACAGGAGCTGAACACAGGAGGTCTGTCGCTTGGGGCCTCTGGAATAATGGAGGCGGAGGTAGGATTGGGCAGTCAGGACAAGGGATGCGATTGTCCTGAAAGCTGGAATGAGAGCCCAGACGATTCTGTAGGGGAATGTACTGAAAAAGAGCTCCTGAAGTCTAACATTCATTCGGTCAAGGCTTATGGAACATCTACTCTAGATGTTCCACAAAAGCAAAGAAAAAGGAAAAAGACCAACTAAATTTTCTCTCACACAGCTTTCATTGTGGCAAAGCAAACAAGCACCTTTCCCACCCAGAGGCGATGCACAGTGCCTTTTCCACATCTCACTGCAATATTACAGACTCTAAAAGGAAAGAAATTAATTTCCAAAATATGATGGAGCAAAGAATGTGTTGGATTGTTATCTGCCATGTAAATCAGATTCTATTTGTTTGGGAATAGACTTTTAAAAATCAGAAACATAGGCTAAGATCAATTACAGCAGATGCTATCTTGGGCAGGGAGTTTGTAAAGCCGAATTCAGAAATCCTTACCCAAAAGACCACCAGAGACCATCACCAATGTAAAAGCAAAGGAGTCTTAATTGCAAGCTCGAGCTTGGTTCCCCCCACCCCATGTACATGGCAGCAGCCCATGATGCTGAGAGGCCCCGAGCCCAGGGTTACAGCACTTTTTATACATTTTTTAGGGAAGGTAGGGGCTTTGCACACATCATAACTTCTTGTAACAAATGACTACAAACTGCAGGAAAATTATAAAACAACTCTATAGTATGATTGGCGCACTACAAAGCGGGAAAGGACCAGAAACAAGTTGTTGGTTAGATCAAGGGGGCAGACGTACTTTAAACTGGTTGGCTTGCACCACAGGGGAGTCTCAAGAGGATAGGTGCTAAACTGCAGGTTGTCTGGTTTAGATCATGGTCACCAGACCCCAAGAGGGGCAGTTCTGGAATTTCAGATACCTTGACATACTGTCTTGAGAAAACACCATCTGTGGTTCCGAGAATTGTTTGTGCAAGGCTTGCTGTCCTAATTCCTAGCATTGGGGCTGAAGTGGGTCAAGGGTTAAGTTGCAGAACTGAGATGGGGGGGAGGGGTCTTAAGTGAAATGGAGTTGCTTAGGTTCCTCAAGTTGACCTGTTACTACCGGGCCTTTCTATCAAAATGCATCTGCTTGTAACCTAGATGCACTGTATGATTGTGTGTGTGTGTGTGTGTGTGTGTGTGTGTATGCACACACGCACGTGCATTAGGGAAGAATATTTGACTCTGCTTCTCCTTATTGTCTGCAGTCATGGAGGAGGTATCTAGACAGATCAATGCAAATAATTATTCGTCTCAAAAACTGAACAAATTTTGGTCATAACAATTGTTTCTTTGAAAAAAAAGGTGTTTTTTTAAAAATATTCTACCATACCATGTCCCTCTGGACACTCTTTTCATCCTGCTCCTGGGCAGTAACTTCCAATAAATTAAAGGTCTAAAATGTATACCTCCTTCAAGGTTTCTTCCAGTAACTTCTCCCTTGCAAAGATGGCATCTAGGCCCAGAGGAGGCTCCCTCACCCTCTTGGGGTTGGAGCAAGCCCCCCTACCTTCACATGCCAACTCCTCTGTGGCCCCCAGCTGGCCCCTGGATTGGGTCAGAGTTGGTTTGGCCACTGAAGCATCTGTGCTGAGGGAGAGAGAAGGTGAAGCATGCAGGTTGTGTACCTGATTGCGTGACTTGATACTTGGTATGTCCCTAAGATTTAGGGTGCATGAGAAGGAATGATTTAGGGGGATTTGAAGTTACTGAAGCTTCGAGGGAGAACACAGGAGGGGAAGCCAGAGTTTAGCCCTGAGGTGGATTGAGGAGAGCTCTCCCTATGCCACAGCTGTCCCAGAGCATGGTTTTGTAATCCAAGATTTGAAGATTCACGGGCCCCCTCCTAGGAAAAGCTACTCAGAGGCAGGGAGTGGCCTAGGGGGTGCAGCCTTAAGACTAAAGCTGAGGCAGAATGTGTGTCCCCAATCCTGGAGTAACTCTGCTTCTCTTGCTTCTCCAGGTCTCCAGGGGCTGCAGGTTTACAGGCTCCACAGGGAAGAAAGGCCCAACTTCCGGCTCATGTGCCTGAGGTGGTTAAATACCCAGCCTCAGAGGCCCAGCTGGGGCTGGAGCCACATCTCCTGCCCTTGCTCCTGGCAGCAGGGACAGTGGGATTTACGATTCCAGCCCATCCGCACAGGTGACATCTCCTTCTGATTCCTCCCAAGTCTACCCGCCATCCCTTTGGCTCAAACATGTTCTGTCTTGGCTTTTCCCAGAAACACCCCCCATGCCCCTCCCCCACCCTACCACAGGCTCTGCAGCCTGGGCCTGAGGACATTTTCCCTTTGCAGGTTGGTGGGACTCCAACAGCAGGAAGCTGTGTAGTTTCTCCTCTTGGCGAGGGGGTGTGTGCTGCCGCTATGGGCCCTGGGGAGAGTTCCGAGAAGGCTGGAGCGTGCAGAGTCATTGGCACTTTGGTAGGTATCCACAAGGACTTTCCCCTACCTGCCCTTGAGCCCACTGCTCTTCCAAGCCAAGCCTGGGATTCTCTGCTTCCCATCCCCATTCCTTCCCCATTCCTTCCCAGCTCCATCCCTCTTGCCTTAATTCCATGATTCTGGGAAAACAGGAAGCTTCCATCAGCTGCCAGTTGATGTTCCATCAACTTATGACTGGAGCCTGGAGTGAGGACATCTTTTCAGGCAAGGGGAGAGGATCTAATCTGACCACGCCTCTCAGGGCCTACACAGGCAGGCTACCTGGGGAGAAGAGTTAGAGCCAGCTCCCCACAGAGGTTCACAGCGGTGTATGAAGCAGCTTGCATCTAACCATCCACCACCTGCTCCAGATGTGACCTGTACTGTGGCTGATTCCAAAGTCATGCTTTTAGCTGGGTACCAGTGGTTCACACCTATAATTCTAGATACTCAGGAAGCTGAGATCTAAGGTTCATAGTTCAAATCTAGCCTAGGCCTGAAAGTGGAGGTGTGGCTCAACTGGTTGAGCTCCAGCCTTGAGTCAAAAAGCTGAGGGACAGCCCCCAGACCCCAGGTTCTAAGCCTGAGTACCAGCATACGTGAATGCGCACACACACACACACACACACACACACACACAGAGAGAGAGTCATGCCTTTGCGTAGAGCAATGCCATCTTGCCCTACCAAACCTAAACCTTCCTGCTAGTTTTCTAGAACTTCTGCCCCTTGCCTCAACTCCTGCTTCTCTCCATAGACCAGGAGCTGGAGCCACAGAACTGGTGCTGCCGCTGGAATGACAAGCCTTTCCTCTGTGACCTGTACTGGCAAAGGCGACCCCGCATCAGCTGTGCTGGGTACAGACCTCCACGACCCGGTGAGTGCCGGGGCCAAGGCTAAGCATCAGGGGAAGGAGCCTCTTGACCTCTTGTGGGACATGGAATCTGCACTGGCAGAAGGCCAGCTTCCTGGGGCAGCACTGAGGCCACAGGGGAGTAGGGACAATTCTAGGGTGAGACTGATGGCACTGGAGAATAGATAAAAAGGGGAACCCAAGTATGAAAGGCTTTCTAGTAGGTTCTATACCCCATGAATATGTGCCCAGGCTTGGCCTGCTAGGGCAGGTGCCCTGCCTGGTGGGTAATATTGAGTCTCTGGCCCTGCTTTGCTAATGCATTACCTCCTTTTCTTCAGCCTGGACATTTGGGGATCCCCACATTGTCACCTTCGATGATGCCAGTTACACCTTCAATGGGCTGGGGGACTTCCTGCTGGCCCGGGCCTCAGATGAAAACTCCTCCTTTCTGCTGCAGGGCCGCACTGCCCAGACCCCCACAGCCAATGCCACCAACTTCATTGCCTTTGCTGCTCAGTACAACTCCAGCACTGTGGGCCCCATCACGGTGAGGATGGGGAGTGCTCAGGACACCCCTGTATCCCGCCCCGCTCAGCTCCTTGAGACCTTCAGCTGGACAGCGAGGCTCTGGAGGGACAAGCGAACAAAGAAAGGGGGAAATGGGGCAGAAGGAGGGCACAAACCTATCAGAAGAGCCATCTGAGTGAACCCTGAAATCCTGGAACCAGAAATTAGGATTCTAGCTCCACCATTTTCAGCTGCTTGACTTGGAAGAAACTTCTGCACCTCTAGTGTTTCTATTGCCTTTTAGTAAAGTGAAGATAATAATATCTCTGCCCCACAGGGCTGTAGTAAGATTTAAATGAGATGATCTGAAGTATGCCTAGCACCGAGCCTGGCTCATACTGAGTGCTCCACAGATGTCACCGACAACCCCACTGCTACTCTCTCCATTACTTTCTTCTTCCTCCAACCCTGGGTTCCAGCTTAGATTTGTTCTCTGGAGCTTGACTTCTAGGCCTCTGCTCAACCTGCCATTCAGGCTGAGTCCTCTGCCAATTCCCTTCCAGGTTCAATGGCTCCTTGAATTCAATAACACAATCCGTGTTCTACATAATCACCATGATGTGACATTTGAGACCAACCACGTAGATGCAGAAGGTAGGCTGGAGGGAACTGTCAGCCGTTGCCCCCTGTGTCTCTAGCTTGGGATTTAATAGGGTATTTACTATCTGGAAGTAAGGCATAGTAGTTGTAGCATCAGGCAGAATAGATGGAACAGTCAGGACCCCTACTAGCCCTGCAGAGGCTGTGTCTGAACAGATTCTACACCCAGGCCCAGGGTATTGGACCTTCTGTCTTCCATTCTCTCCTTTCCTCCAGGCTGTCATCAACTCTCTGGTTAGCCCTTGTCTTCATTCTCCAGGACACAGGCCTTGAGGGTGGCCTAAGTGGCCTGGGGCCACTAAACAAAGTACCCTGGGAGTCCCAACATAGCCCTCTGTCTCGTCTCTGTGTCACGGGCTTTTACCACTCTCTAAGTCATGGTTCGCAGCATGCCCGTGTTAGTGGGCTCTTGGCTTCCTCCTTGTCCTCTAGGCCTGCAGATATTCAACACCACTGGCCTCCTGTTGACCCGGAATGGCTCCCAGATTTCAGCCAGCTTTGATGGGACAGTGACCATCACAGTGATCGCTCTCTCCAACATCCTCCATGCCTCCTCCAACCTTCCAGAGGAGTACCAAAACCGCACAGAGGGTCTCCTGGGTAAGAAGGAGGTGCTGGCACCCCAGATAGGGGCAGCTGGCCTTCCTGTGAGCTATGGGCTCCCCTGCCCCGTTCTGTTTCTCAGCCCTTCTAGGGCATATAGCTAGCCAGGGATGGGAAGGAGATACTACCATCATCCTGCAGCTCACTTCCTGTCCTTCTCTGGCTTTGGGAAGGAGAGGGCCACAGCCACTCTTCCCCTACCCCCACATCTGTGTTCTTTTCTCCTGGTCTTCCACCATCTCCCTCCAATCTCCCTCCATTTCCTCAATCATTATCTTTTCTCCTTTCTCTGAAGTACAGGGCCCCTTCTCCTGGGGGCCCAAACCCGACCGGTCAGATGTTCCCTAGGAAAGGGGAGAGCCACCTTCTGGGGTGGCTGACCTTCTTTGTCCCTCAGGGGTCTGGAACAACAATCCGGAAGATGACTTCAGGATGCCCAATGGCTCCACCATTCCTAGAAACAGCTCTGAGGAGACGCTTTATCACTATGGAATGACCTGTGAGTCCCGGGAACCCCTCAGCAGAGCTGATGATGGGGCAGGCCAGAATAAGGGGATCCTGTATGTGGTCTCCCCAGGCTTCTATCAAAATAAAGGTCTGAGGAGTTGGCCACCACCCCAGATTTGTGCCCCCCAGTGCCATCCCACTTGCTTGTCTCCATTGGGGAGGGGCTGGGCAGGTAGTACTCACTCACTGAAGCAGTAATTTCCTAACTCAGAAGCTGGAAGCCACTCTGTTCCCATGTCCGCTCCCACAGTGTGCATGCAGGAGTGGACTCAGCCAGAATAAGTCTGGAATCCCAGCCCTGTTACACCCCCCCCTTTTCCCCACACACACACTATGTTATCCTATGTTATAGGGCAAATCAATGGAACAGGCCTCCTCGGGAACAGGACTGGTTCTCTGCCTTCCAATTTCACCCCTGTATTTTTGTCCCAACTAACAATGAGAAACAATAATTCTTTGGTCGCTGAGTGTAATGAAGATAAACCATGCACCTATGACTTCCTGGTCACTGGAAACATAGACCTCGGACGTCACACCAGGATGGCCTCGGAACAATACCAGCGGATGAACACCAGCCTCAGTAAGTGCTGTGAGACCCAGGGGAAGGTTTGCGGAGCTGGGGAGCAGATGCAAGCCACCCCTCCATCATTTTGTGCCTTTAGGGCATCCTACAGCTCTGATCCAAATGCACCTAAGACTCCCTGTGGTGCCCGACACAGCCTTCTTCAGTCTGTGTCCTTTGTCTCTCAGGACTCTTTCCCCAGAGCTCACCAACTCCTCTCCCTCTACTCCTACCCCACTGGGCTCTCTTAACTCTGGGTCTTAGCGCAGGCTTCTTCTACTTTGAAAGTCCTTTCCCTGGACAGTCATAGACTGTTCTTCACCTCTTTACCCATCTCCTTCTCGGTGATACCCCTCAGCTATGCTGTGTAAAATTCCATCTTCAGCCACGCCTCCCGCTTGCCTTTTCCTTATTATGGACAACTACTAAACATATTTTATAATTTTCATGTGTCATATTTTCTTCACATATCCACTGTTATATCCTAGAATGATGTCATCCAGCTATTAGGTGCTCAATAAAAACAGTTGTTAGCTGACTGGCTTAGTGGATGAATGAACAATGGAATAAAAATAGCAAGGCTCCAGGAAACAGACTGTTGAGAGATTTGCCCCCCTCTCTATTTGCAGACAAATGCAATGGCTGTCTAGCTATTCTCTTGTGGCTTGGGGCTCTTCTCTAAAACTAGAAAAGACCTAATGATCTGAACAGCACTGTTTTCTGGGTCACTTTGTCCCAGATAGGAAAGAATGTGAAATGAGCCCTGTTTGGGGAAGAGAAAGAAAGAGAGACTAAAGGTTTGGGCAGGTGGGAAGAGTAAGTCCAACCTGCTCTGAGAGGTGGGGCTCAGATGTGGAAAGGCCTCCCAAGACACTGGGGCAGGAGAGGAGGGAAAGACTAAGCCAGAGTGCCCTGCCTCAGCTCCAGTCTGTGTTGCAGATCAGAACCCACCCTCAATCAGCGGCCCCAGTGTGGTTGAAGCCTACAAGGGAAAACCCATAAAGATTCAATTCTCCAGTAACTCTGAGAACATCACATTCACCCTCAGAGACCATTGTAATGACTCTAAGCTCTTTGGTAAGACCCTTTGGCTGTGTGGGGAGTGGGGAAGTAGAGCATGAGGTCAAACTGCTATTCGTGTGTGTGTGTGTGTGTGTGTGTGTGTGTGTGTGTGTGTGCGTGCACGTGCATGCCTATGCATGCCAACATTGAAAGCCTCTTGTTCAATTTTCTTGCTCATGGCTGGTGCTCTACCACTTGAACCACACCTACAATTCAGCATTTTGCTGGTTAACTGAAAATGGAGTCTCATAGATGTTTCTGTCTGGGCTGGCTTTGAGCTGCAATCCTCCAGGTTTCAACCTCCTAGCCCCTAGCTCTATTTTGCATCTATTTGCCATGCAGTGAAGCTGAATTACTTTTCATTTAGTAGCCGGATCTATTTTATTTTCTCTTCTCCTCTCCTCTCTTTCTCTTTCTTTATTTTTGATTGTCTTATATTAGTTATACAGGAGGTGGATTTCATTGTTACATCTCCTATGTTTATGTTGTGTTCTGATCAATTTTTACCCCCTCTATTATACTCCTTGCTGGAGACTGTTTTTCACTAGGCCAAATTTCTCAGGGACCGTGTTCTGAACTGTAATCCCCTCACACCCTCATTGCCTTTCTCTGAGCATAAGGAAGGCCTGCTCTGCCTGCATCCCGTTTTGCTCCTCAAGGCACCTAGCCCAGTGCCCAGTGCATCCCACACTTCATTGACACTACTGAAAAGCCATGCTCTGGAATTCATTCTTGTTTACTCACTACTGTACACTCCTTCCAACCTGCTCTTTTGTGGAGTCTTTCTTATTTTGATTGGGGAAAAAGAGACAAATTTGATTAAATGACATTGAACAGTGTACTCTGCTAGCTGGATAAAGGTCAGGGGTAGCTGGGCAAAGGACATGAAAGGGGTGATGAAAAGTCAGGACGAGGTGGGGGGAGGAGTGTTCAGGGCTGAGGCCAGTTTAGCCTGTGGTTTCAGGAAGCACCCAGAGGATTCTGGTTCTCATCTTTCAACCCCAGAACACCCATCCTGGGTTCAGGATTCAGGCAGGGTTGTCTTTTGGAGGGAGGTCTTTCTAGGGGCAATAGCCTTTTGCTTTGTAAATTTCCCCATACAGTCAGTAAATTAGGGTGATGTAACTTCCTCCAGTTTGAACATGGTCAAGATCACTCCAAGTTACAGCATAGTTCAGTCTGTTTATAGTTGAGGGGTATGTGTGAGAGGGATGGGAGGAAATAGCCTTAGCCATCAAGGTGTAAGAAGCCAGGATACAGGGGACTACAGAGCAAAAGTCTCCCAGCCCTCAACAATCTCATCTTCCCTGGGCAGAGAATGGAACTTTTCTGTGGAAACCAACATCCCTGGGACCGTGCACACTGGATATTCTAGCAAGAGACAGCAGGACTGGTTTGTCATCTGCACTCCAGCCCAAGGCTGTGGTCTGCTTCTGCAAGGCAAACAGCCAGTGCTTTTTCAATCAGACCAAGCGGGTGGGCAATTCCTCTCTTGAGGTGAGTGTTGGGATAGCATAAGAAGGAGATTTCCGGGCTGGGAAGGTGGCTCAGTGGTAGAGCGCTTGCCTTGCATGCATGAGGCCCTGGGTTCGATTCCTCAGCACCACATAAGCAAAAAGAAAAAAGCCAGAAGTGGCGCTGTGGCTCAAGTGGTAGAGTGCTAGCCTTGAGCTGAAGAGCTGAGGGACAGCATCCAGGCCCAGAGTTCAGGCCCCACGACCGGACCGCCCCCCCCCCGAAAAAAGAAGGAGATTTCCATGATGCAGGAAAGGAAGTACATATGGAAGGGAGGTTGCAACTCAGTCTCCCCTGGGTAAGAGGAGGTGGGTGGATCCATGATGGATGAGTATAGCCGGTACCAATCTCAGGCAAGTTCATGTGTGAAGAGATAGGACTCTGTGACTTATAACTCCAGTAAAAATTCTTTTTCTTTCTTTCTTTCTTTTTCTTTCTTTCATTCTTTTTTTCTTTCTTTCTCTCTCTCTCTCTCTCTTTCTTTCTTTTTGTGCCAGTACTCAGGCTTGAATGCAGGCTCTGGATATTGTCTCTTAGGTTCTTTGTTTAAGAAGTTATAGCTACCGGGGCTGGGAAGTTGGCTTAGTGGTAGAGCACTTGCCTTGCATGCCTGAGGCCCTGGGTTTGATTCCTCAGCACCACATAAGCAAAAGGAAAAAAGCCAGAAGTGGCGCTGTGGCTCAAGTGGTAGAGCACTAGCCTTGAGCTGAAGAGCTGAGGGACAGCGCCCAGGCCCAGAGTTCAGGCCGGACCAAAAAAAAAAAAAAGAAGTTATAGCTACCACTTGAGCCACACCCCTACTTCTGGCTTTTTTGGCAGTTAATTGGAGCTAAGAGTCTCACAGATTTTCCTGCCTGGGGCTGTCTTCTGACTGAGATCCTCAGATCTCAGCATTCTGAGTAGCTAGAATTATAGGCAAGAGCCACCAGCATCTGGTTTCAAGTGAATATTTATGTCTCACCTCCCATTTGGTCAGACTGTTAGACTTTCATTTCAGCCTCCTTGCAGTTTGCTTCCTCAGAGAGTCATTGAGGTGTCAGGTGGGAGGTCTCCCTGTGCCCCCTGGGCATGAAGTCTATGGGGCCTCCAGCAGTTAAGCCCTGCTTTCCTCCAGGCTCTGGGAGACATCCATGCCTTACTGTGGAAGGAGATAGGACATGAGAGAAGCTTCAGGACCAAACAGGGTGGGACTCAGAGTAAAGAAAGGGCCTGGGAGACTGAGGGACAGGAGGACTATGTGGCTTTGGAAAGGGCCTGTGGGCTTGGCCTGATCAAGCAGGTAGGTGTTCAGCACTTGCAAACAGGACTAAGACAAGGACCCAAGGCTCATGGGTTCTTGAACTGGAAGGGTGTCAGTCCAGAGACACCGGACGTCCTTAATGGTTTAGCTTTGTGGCTATCTGGTGATTAATAACTTGGGCTGCTGTTCCAGGTGGCCAGCTGTAAGTGTGATGAGGACAGCTTCGGCCTCTACTGTGAACGCACCATGGACCCCTGTGACCAGCAGTGTTTCCCAAACGTGCGCTGCATTCCCAGGAAGGGCTGTGAGGCCTGCCCCCCCAACATGACTGGGGATGGGCGTCACTGTGCAGGTGAGCCAGGAGCAAAGACCAGGCAAGAGGAGGTTCCATGACCAGGTAGCATCTTCTAGACTTGAAAAACTGCCAAGGAAAACTGAGTGTCTCCTTTTTCCAGGAAGTCTTTTTTATACTTGTTCCAGGAAGTCATGGGAAGGGGACATGGAAAGGGGGTGGAACGTGGTGCAGGGCTGAAGGAGAAGAGGCTGTCCTGGAAGAGGGCAGGGCCAGGCATAGCAGCCCAGAGGTGGTATTGGGGAAAACTCAAAAGACTAAACTAGATGGTCAGGAGGAGGCTGGGACGCTGTGGTGAGCCACCTGAGGGTCTTCAGACACAAGAACCAGAGCATCTCATAAGGTGAGATATTTGGGGAAACAGCTAAAGGAGCCTCATTTTTCTTTGGGTCCTCCACCATCCCAGACTGCTCTCTAGCTCTGAGCAGCTGCAGTGACAGTGAGGAGATCACAAGGGGGGACTCCCTCAACCCCCCAAGGCAGCCAAGTACCATCAGGACACCACTGTCTTCCGGCAAGAGCCAGAATAGGCAGAACTATAGCTTAACCTGTAGCCTTCTGAGTCCTTCCAAGGGTTTGATAAACTTGCCATTCCTGCTGCAGAAGGAAAAAAAAAAAACCTGTCTAGTAAAATATGAGGTGGGGGAGGGGAGGTTGCCTTGTAGAAAAATGTCTAGAAAAGGAAAAAGAAGATCGTTTGGGGTTCAGAGTGGCCCACAAACAGGACATAGATAGGGCAGAAACCAAGATGTCCTGTGAACAGATTCCCAGGGTCACCTCTCCCCCTGAGCGCCTCTGGCTACCTCAGTATGGCATGACCACCATTCTTCTGCAGCTCTGGAGGACCTCTTCCACTGTGTGAACCACTCCTGTCCTGTGAATTACTGCTATAATCAAGGCCACTGCTACATCTCCCAGACTCCAGACTGCCAGCCCACCTGTACCTGCCCCCCAGCCTTCACCGACACCCGATGCTTCCTGGCAGGGAACAATTTCACTCCAGCCATTTATGGAGGTACAAGAAGACACCCCTAACACCCCATCCCACACTCTGTCATCTCTGAGGAAAGTGGGATAACTGGGGTCCTGGGCCAGCACCTCAAGAGGACCAGTCAGAAACCCTGAGTTTTCTTAGCATGTAGTGAGTTGTGTGATGGCTTGTGTGAACCACAAGTCTGTGCCATCTTCTGGGGACACACTAAAGCAGAGGCCAACGAGCTGATGGACGTAAGAGTCACAGGTGCTCTGGTCATCCCAGAGGGAGCTCAGGAGTGAGAGTCAGACATGTGCCAGTGACCTTCTGACGTGGCTCAATGACATCTCCAATGAGTCCCATACATTTATGAGGTGATAATGGATCTGCTTCTTCCATCTCCAGATCTTCCCTTAAGAGTCATCCACCTTACACTGAAAGAGGGAGAAAATGCCTCTGTTGCCGACGTCAACGCCTCGGTCAGTACCAGTGTTGCATGCCCAGCTCCACAGGGTGGGGCTTGGATCTCATCTGGGGCAAGCAAGGGCCAGCCATCACTGTGCATCCATTTAGCCTCCGTTGTCCATCTGGCCTCATCCCAGCCTCTCCCTGAATACCCCATCAGAGTCTCTGGGTATTGTATGGACTCTTCCAGATACACTGGGGCATTTCATCTCCACCCTGACTTTCTAGAGGGAACTGGCGCTCTGTCCTCTTGGCTGCCATACCCTTGCCCACACATCAGTCACCGGTAAAGCAGCCTGGTGATTGAGTGGCTGAGCCTCTACACTCCTATCCATGAGGATTCAAATCCCTGCCCTTCTGCTTACTTGAGCAGGTGTAATCATTACACAAGCTAGCTTAGCACTTGTTTATTGGCATCTATTTAGTTGTATATTAAATATATAAAATGTTAGATTGTGTTAATTATATATTACATATTAGATTGGCACATATTAAATAGTAGTAAAGGGGTTCATCACGACACTTCCATACTTGCCAAAAATGTAACTCAGTTTTATTAGACAAGCTACTTAGTGACTGATGTAGTAAAAGGGATGAGAGTGGTGCCTATGTCTCTGGGTTGTTGAGGTTTAGATGAGATTGTGTAGAGATGGGTGCTAGTGGTTTACACCTTGTAATCCTAGCCACTCACAAGGCTAAGATCTGAGGATCGCTGTTCGAGGACAGCTTAGGCAGAAAAGTCCATGGGACTCTTATCTCCAATTAACCACCACAGTCAAAGTATGGTTTAAGTGGTAGAGCATCAGCCTTGAACAGAAGCCAGACAAGAGTGAGAAGTCCTGAGTTCAAGCCCCACTACTAGCACACACCCCAAAATGAAAATATGCCTAAAACATGCATGCAGCACAAAACACCATGCATTTACAAACTGTTGACACTCTTGCTAACACTACTACTAGAGCACTCTATACCCCAAATGGTAACACCTGCTGACATTTGTCCATTGCAACTGATAACAAGGACCGTGCGTATAAGTAGTTCCTCATTCAGCTTGACATCACTGGCTCCTGGTCATCCCTGGACCTAGCTAAGCAACTCATGGGTCTACATGGTGGAGGGAATGAGTTGGGACAGAGGCCAAGTACAGATCATACATTTCAGACTCTCCCTGTAATACGAGGCAGAGGATGGAGAAAGAAGGTAAATTCCACTCATCAATGAGGATTTAGCAAGACCCAGGCCAGCCACTAGCCTAGGAAGCAGTTGGGGATGACAAGATGGTGAGAAATATCTTGGTGTGTCCTGTATGCATGTTCAAAGGTGAAACCAGGCAGGGGTAACTGAGCACATTATAGTGGGAGGGGTCTCCTCTCTAGTCACAACCCCACTTCCCATTCCATGATCCTCTGTCTCAGGTGGCATACAGACTGGAGACCCTGGAAGTGCGGACCTTTCTCCGGAACAGCCAAGTACAACCAATGTAAGTGAGATTGTCCCGGTGCCCCCCCCATCTCCATATCTTCTCCCCCTGCTCCTTAACCCTTTGCTGTCCTCTACCCATCACAGTTTTCAATCAACACTGACCCCAGGACACACAATTCAACACTGGTTAGTCACCTCTGAGTTCCAGTACCGCCCTAGAGGCCCCATCATCCACTTTCTGAACAACCAGCTTCGGGAGGCCATAGTAGAGGCCTTCCTCCAGGCTCCGAGAGGGAGGCAGAAGAGAAACGTGGAGCCCAAGAACAATGTGTACTTCTACCCCATCTCAAAGGGAGATGTACACGACAGAATGGCCGGTGAGTCACTCTCTTAGTGACAATACGGGACAGCCGCGGGGAAGAGGGACATAAGAGGGAGCCTATCACAGATCTTCAGGCCACACAAAAACCTATAGTAAAAGTGGACTAGGGAGTTCCACACACAAATAAGAAGCACATTGATTTAGTTTTGTTGCTTGTAATCTAATAACATTGTGAACACCTTATCCATCCCCTTTTTAGATTCAGAACTGGGAGTGGCCAAAATACTCCTGATGCACCAGTAGGTTTCCTTTCACACAGCAGTTACTCCAGGCCTTGCTGCCCGTGGCAGCACTTTCCTCTCATTTAATAAAATTGCTCAGTTTTCATTCTTTTCTTTTGGTGGTACTGGGGCTTGAAATTAAGGCCTCACAGGCACTCTGCCACTTGAGCCACATCCCTTTGGCTTTTTAGTTTTGTCTTTCAGATAGTGTCTAACACTTTTGCCCAAGTTGATCTTGAACTACTATCCACCTGTTTCTACTTTTCTAGTGGCTGGGATTATAGGCATGCAGCATTATACCCAACCACTCACAGTTTTCTTAAGCTGCCTACACGCCAAGGACCTGTCCTTCACCTTTGCCCTCTAGCCAGAGGATCATAAGTGAACAAAAAGAGCGAATAATGTATAATCCCAATCCTGAGATAATACTACTTTGTACACATTCTTCTGAGCTCTCTGTTGGAACTTTAAGGCCTTCACATATTAATTCTTATGAAGCCTTCAATTTATACTTAATGTTTGATAGCTTCCTCATTAAATAATTGTGAGTACATTTGATTTAGTGTTTTGGGCTTTTTTGAAGCTGGGGATGGAGGAAGTACTGGGGTTTGAACTCTGGAACTGTGTTTCCATAGGCTGGTGCTCTACCACTAGAGGCACAGCCCCAGTCTTTTTTGCTTTAGTTACTTCTCAGATAGGGTCTTGTATTATTGTCTGAGGTCAGCTCAGAAACAATGATCTTCTTCTTTGTTCCTTTTATCTATGCACAGTAAGTACTGTGCTAGGCTTGTTAGTTAAGATGGGGGTAGTCTCACTAACTTTTACCTGGGCTGGCCCCAAACCTCATTTCCCTTGATCCCTGCCTCCTGAGTAGCTGTGATTATAACCAAAAGTCACCACACTCCACTCAAATATAGTGTTTTATAGTATTGTTAAACATATTGTGGTAACAGTAATTCCCTAATGAGTGCTATGTGTCAGGCAGCCTATGTAGTATTTCATTTAAATCTCATATTATTACAATTTGTTTTTAAAGATAAGGAAACTGAGGTTCAGTTAGGAAATCTCCCCAAATCATACAATTAGTAGTTGAATTTGAATTTCAACTGAGGTCTGGTAACTTCAAAGCTTATACTAACACATTTTCCTACCTTAGAATTGTCACTGTAGATAAGGATCTACAGTAACTCCTCCTGTTGATACTGGCAACCATGTGTCTCTGGATATCGATATACCTGTAGATATATCCATATATATACTTACATACCCATACATATACACAAACATACATACACACATACACACACACATACACACACACACACTATTCCAAAACAAACCCCTGAAAATGGAATTCTAGTCTGGAGGGGATGAGTTTCTCTTTAACTGGTTGCCTTCTATGTGAATCTGTGTCCTACCCACCAGTGAACCTGAGCACGCTGGAGACTTACTTTAAATGTGACGGCTACAAGGGCTACCGCCTGGCCTATGACCCACAGAGTGGCTTCACCTGCGTGTCCCCATGTAGCGAGAACTACTGTCACCACGGAGGCCAGTGCCAGCACCTGCCGGATGGGCCCCGCTGCAGGTGCGTAGGGCCTGGGGTAGGGGGTGGAGGACAGGGCTGGAGCAAGACTCTGCAGGGGGGCTCGGGAATGCTAAGGAACCAGCCCCAGGTACCCAGGCAGCAGAGTCACAGGGGTCCGCCGCTGTCCTAGTGAGAGGAACCCGCCCGCTCGTGCTGGGGGCCAGCCTGGCCCTCCACAGAGCATCTACAGGGGAGCCCCGAAACCGCTGCCTGTTTCCTCCCACACCCCTGTATTAGCCTCCGGGTGACTCCGTGAGGGCAGGCTGTGGGGCTGCGACGCCACCCGGACCGGATCTTCCTTGACCTCTCCGTAGCTCCGAAAGCGGACCAAGGAGAGACCGGGAGCAGGAGGAGGGAGAAGGCGAAGGCCGGCGGCGGTGGGGCGGAGCCAAGGGCGGATCCGGGGCGGATCCGGGGCGGATCCGGGGCGGAGCCAGGGGCGGAGCCGGGGCGGAGCCAGGGGCGGAGCCGGGGCGGGGACTGCGGCCGCGCAGGCGCACAGCGCCCCGCCCGTCCCGCTCCGGTGCCGGAGACTGTCCTCCCGGGCCTTGGTGTGGGGCGGTCCCTCTCCCCTCGCGGGGGTGGGGGGGAGACCCCGCCGGCCCCGGCCGCCCAGGCGTGCCGCTGACCACCCCCTCTCTCCGTCCGCAGCTGCTTGTCCTTCGCCATCTACACGTCGTGGGGCGAGCGCTGCGAGCGCCTCAGCGTGAAGCTCGGCGCCTTCCTCGGGATCCTCTTCGGGGCCCTGGGCGCCCTCTTGCTGCTGGGGATCGCGGTGTTTGTGAGCCTGCGCGTCTGCGGCCGCTTCCGAGCCAAGAACTCGTACCCCCTGTCCCCCGAGTCCTGAGCGCCGCACCCCTCCGCGCGGCCTCGGACCCCAGCACCCGCCGCCGCCGGCACGCGGCGGGCGGCCCTGCGTGGGGAGGGTGCCCTCGAGGACCCGAGACGCTCGTGGGTGGATGGGGGCTCTACGCATGCGCTCCGGAGGCCCAGCGCTGACCACACCCACACACGCTGCAGAATTGTTGACAGACGGGGTGGCTGGCTCTACCTTCACCAAAATGCTTTGCACAGGCAACCATCTTGTTTACTTCTGATTATAAAGTCTATTTAAGTAAAAATCTCCCCCCCTCTCTCTTTTTCTCTCTTGTGTTCAAATCCTGCATTCAATTTTCCTCTGGTGGCTCAAGGGCTAGGCACAGGGCTTACCCTCAGGAGGTTGTGGATTCCGGGAGCAAGATGGCCCTGACCCAAGTTTATCTTGGCCCTTAGTTACTCCATGTTGGGAAGCCCTGATCTGGATCCTTGCTTTGCTCTCTGCACATCACTTTCCTTCCCAAACCCAACCCAGGCTGTGATGCTTTCAAGTGTGATTTGTTCCCCGAGAGGTTTGTGTGTCTTAGTCCGCAGTGCGGCCATGCGCAGGTGCTGGGAGGGTACCACTCAGAAGGGATTGATGTATCTCTCCACTGGCCCCCACTTAGTTCCCTCGAGACTGAATTTTTATAAAGTAAAAATGTTTACAGAGGCTGGGAAGGTGGCTCAGTGGTAGAGTGCTTGCCTTGCATGCATGAGGCCCTGGGTTTGATTCCTCAGCACCACATAAGCAAAAAGAAAAAAGCTGGAAGTGGCGCTGTGGCTCAAGTGGTAGAGCGCTAGCCTTGACCTGAAGAGCTGAGGGACAGCGCCCAGGCCCAGAGTTAAGGCCCCACAACCGGACCCCCCAAAAAAACCAAAAACCTTTACAGTCGCAGCATAAGGCTGCCCAACCTCAGACTTAAAGCTTCCAAAATTAGGAACTGAAAAACATCTCTTACTCTCTATACTTGCTCCAGTATGGATATTAGCATTTCCATAAATCTGTACCTATTTGATACACAAAAAGTAATACCCCACTATACTGATTTATACTTTACTAGCAAAGTCAAGCTTTCTTTTTCATAGGGAGTGGTATTGAAATTCTTTCTTCCACATCTTTATTCGCGTATTCTAATGTTCAAAGTGTAGAGTTTCGTTGTGATATTGCCATGAATATACTTTGTATTATTACTCTTTTCTCATCCTACTATATTGCTTCTCTTGTGAATCATCTGTCTTTGTCTACTTGTGGTTGTTCTTTTATTGCTCTCTAGGAGCTTTATATGGTAAGGACAGTCTATTTTTGTTCTTTGTAGTGTAAATTGGTTTGGTTTGGGTTTTTCTTTTTTTGTCGGTCATGGGACTTGAATTCTGAGCCTGGATGCTGTCCTTCAGCTCTTTACTTCAAGGCTAGTGCTCTACCACTTGAGCCACAGCACTACTTTGGCTTTTTCTGTTTACGTGGAGCTGAGGAATCAAACCCAGGGCCTCATGCATGTGAGGCAAGCACTCTACCACTGAGCTACCTTACCAGCCTTTGTGTTTGTTTGTTTTTTATTTGGTCTGTCATGGAGCTTGAACTCTGGGCCTGGGCACTGTCCCTCAGCTCTTCCGCTCAAGGCAAGTGCTTCTACCATTTGAGCCACAGCTCACTATTGATTTTCTGATGGTTAATTGGAGATAAGAGTCTCACAGACAGACATTCCTGCCCCAGCTGGCTTTGAACTGTGATCCTCAGATTTCAACCTCCTGAGTAGCTAGGATTACAGGTGTGAGCCACCAGCACCGAGCTAATTTGGTGGAGTGTTATTTCTGTTAATGTCTAATATCCTTTACTAACTTCCCTTTCTGTAGGAAGAGACATTTTCTGACTCTCTGTAGTACATAGCACAGTCTCTCTTTAGTTGTAGGCACTCAATTACATGCCAGACTGAATGAATTATTTCCATTTAATCTACTTTTTTTTTTTTGCCAGTCCTGGAGCCTAAACTGAGGGCCTGGGCACTAAACTGAGGGCCTGGGCACTGTCCCTGAGCTTCTTTTGCTCAAGGCTAGCACTCAACCACTTGAGCCACAGTGGCACTTCTGGCTTTTTCTGTGTGTGTGGTACTAAAGAATCGAACCCAGACTTCATGCATGCTAGGCAAGCATTCTACCACTAAGCCACATTCCCAGCCCTCATTCAATTTACTTTTCAAAACTGATTCTGCCCCACTCTGAAATAAACGGAGGTCAAATATACACTTTCCCTTTATTCAGAGCACTGCCAAGTGGTATTGTTTTCATCATTTATTTAACAAATATTTATGGAGCATCTTGTTTTGTTGGTCTGGTGCTGCGGGTGGAACCCAGGTCAGCACACAGGCTGAGCACATGCTCTACACTGAACAACACCCCCAGTCCATGGAGCATTTCTTCTAGTAGGCACTACAAGCACCACAACCAGCCAAGTCTTTCTGTGTCAGCATTAGAGGGGACACAATAAATAAAACAATACATTATGTGTGATATTAGGTTGTAGCCAGTGCTATCAGGAAAGTGAATTGATTTCTATAAGGATAGTCAGGGTGGTATGCACTGAGGTGAAGAGGGAGGAGTTTGCTGAATGGAGATCTGGAGGAGGAGCTTTCTAAGCAGACTGAGCATTGCCTAACAAGCTTCTAAGACAGGAGTAGGCCAAATGCATTCAAGGAGCAAGAGAGTCATTGTGATTTGTTAAAGAGGTGAATGGGGGATTCTGATCACACACAACTGGCTGTTGCCAGAACTCTGCTTTTCCTCTGAATGGATTAGGAGGGTTTGGCCCAAAGGAATAGGAAGGTCCTCCATGTTTTAATAAGTCATCTCAGATTTGTTTCTTGGGACAAGACTGGGGTTCAGAGCACAAGAGGCCCAGTCATCCAGGGAGATTAAAGAAATCCAGGGGAGAGCACCTGGCCCCTGGGCCACCTGGGAGGTGACAGTGGAGATGGTGAAGAAGGGTCAGGGGCTGGGCAGTGTTCGAGACAGTGGAGACAACAGAATTTCCTGGTGGGAAATGTGAGGAAACAAAGAATAGCTCCAAGGATTTTTGGTTTGTATTGCAAAAGGATACATGAAGATGCTGCAGGAGAGTGTGTTTGGGAGGAAAAGATCAGAACTTTCAGAAATGATGAATATGAGATCTCTCTTTCACATTAGTGTGGCGCAGTTGAGTAAGCTAAGCACCTGAGTGTGCATGTTAATAACAGTTGTGTAAAACGGGTAAGATTTCAGGCTATTTTCTCTCTCTTCCCCTCACCTTTCTATTTCTATTTTTGCTTTTCAATTTTGGGTTTTTATTCCCAATTTTTGAAAGCAAAAGCAGGTTTTTTACCATACAAAAACAAGCCGGGCGCCGGTGGCTCATGCCTAGAATCCTAGCTACTCTGGAGGCTGAGATATAAGGATCATGGTTCAAAGCCAGCCCGGGCAAGAAAGTCCATGAGACTCTTATCTCCAGTAAACCACTAGAAAACCAGAAGTGGCACTGTGACTCAAGCGGTAGAGTACTTGCCTTGAGCTGAAGAGCGCAGGGACAGCACCCAAGTCCAGAGTTCAAGCCCCACGACTGACCAAAAAAAAAAACCAAAACCCACCCAGGTGTTGGTGGCTCACCCCTATAATCCTAGCTACTCAGGAAGCTGAGATCTAAGGATCGTGGTTCAAAGCCAGCCCAAGCGGGAAAGTCTGTGAGACTCTTATCTCCAGTTAACCACCAGAAAACCCGAAGTGGTGCTGTAGCTCAAGTGGTAGAGTGCTAGACTTGAGCTGAAGAGCTGAGGGACAGCGTCCAGGCCCAGAGTTAAAAAAAAAAAAAAAACAAGCCCAAGACACCATGCTTACTTTAAAAAATAATAGCATGTAAGTATGGATTATGGAAGAAATAATGCAGTGTTATAGAGTTTCTTTTAAATCTAGTTGAATCTAGAATTTGAAGTTTAAGTCAATTCAACATTCTCTGCAACCTTGCCACATAGCAAGGTCTCTGAGAGGTTTGAAATCTGAGATAAACAAATATGGTCCCTGCCCCGAAGGAGCTTGCTGAAGCTGGCAGGTTGTCCCCCAAAGGTCCAGGTGGTAAAAGCTTGGCCCTCCCCGTGGGACTGTTGGGAGGTGGTGGGGCCTTGAGGAGGTGGAGCCTAGTGGCAAGTCTTGAGGTGATTGGCATACCATTAAAGAGGATTGTGGCACCCCAAAGCAAGAGATCTACCTGATCTGTTATTCATAACTCCTATAAGATGAAATAACCCTTTTCTCTTTAAAAATGTCAAAAGTATACAGTCATATGGAAAACCTCTGGGTTGCGCGGAGTGTAATTTTAGTGCATAACACAAGTACACAGGTAGGTGATCATGTCTCTCTTTACTGAAACATCCAAACACCAGAAGAAGTGAAGGACACCTCTGGAAACAGGGTAGCCCCCTCCCAACACACATATAATCAGATATAAGTGAGCCAGGGATCAGTGGCCACATCTGGAGTAAGGGGCTTGGGCCAGCTGAGCTTCATGGGAACTTCTAGATCAATCTCAGTACAGTAATGTGGCTTCTGCCTATTGGAAGGAGCCCAGACCATAGGCAACACTGATCCTCTTTGGCCCATGGTTGTACTTGGCTGCAGCTGGTATTCTTTAGCTCCTCTTGACACGCAGTAAGGAGAATTGGACAAGCAGCTTGTGGGCTAGCAATTCACAGTGGAGCTGTGAGGAGAAGCAACCAGAGCTATGGACAACCTATCTGGCCCTGAGCTCACCACAGGCCAAGGACAGGGAGGGACAATGGAAGAGATCGTCAACAATACTTCCCGATCCCCCAAGTGACAAACATGGATGAGGAGCTTCACACACATTATGAAGCAACTTTGTAAGGCAGGTGTTACTATTTTATAAAGAATGACAGTGACTCAAGTGGTAGAGCACTTTGTCTTGAACAAAAGAAACTCAGGAACAGTGCCCAGGCCCTCCCTGAGTTGAACTCCCAGGGTTTGGCACATAAGAAGTAGCAAGAGGAGGAGAAAGCAGGAGGAGGAAGAGGAGGAGGAGGAGGAGGAGGAGGAGGCAGACTCACTCACTCAGTCACACAGGTAGACCTAGAATTCGCACTCAGTTCTAACAAGCCCCAAAACTCACTGTCTGACCTGAGTCCCACATCCTTGGTTGGACCTCCAAAGAACCAATGCCCAGCTCCACATAATCCAGCCCCTGTAGCTCAATGGCCAGAACTGCTCCTGATCTCCATTATTGCTTTCTGGTCTCTGAAATCCTTTCCAGTGTGAGGGCTCTAGTCTACCCTCGTGACTTCTCTCTCTCACGTGGACTCATGCTTGCCACTTTGACTTTCCTGGATGAAGGTGTTTGTCATTTGCTTGGCGGTTCCACATATAACCTCTGTGTATTGCTTAGGGCCAGCCTTGGCAGCCCACTCTGCCACCAAGAGAACTCAAGGACCTAGCCATTCCCTCCTCTATCCTCTGGCAGCCATGAGTACAGAGCTAAGCTCAACCTCTTGGATATTTCTAGTCAGAATTTGGACTCTGGAGCAGGTAACCCAGGGCTAACGAGGCACAATGCCCAATGGCTGTGGCAGCATCTGAGAGTGTCTATGTCCCAGCAATCTTCCTCCTGCATGCTTCACACCTGTGTCTCTGAGCTTCCTCTGATTATGTACACTTGAAACCCTGGCAACAGATCCTCCTTTGGCTTATGCCAACCAGTGATTTTCTTTTTCCTGTAATACAATGAGGGGTCTTATTTACAATAGATATCTTTTTGTTGGTGGTGGTGGTTGTGGGGCTTGAACTCAGGGTGCTGTCCCTGAGCTCTTCGGCTCAAGGCTAGGGGTCTAGCACTTGAGCCACAGACCCACTTTTGGTTTTTTGGTGATTAACTGGAGTTAAGAGTCTCACAGAGGGCTGGGAAGGTGGCTCAGTGGTAGAGCGCTTGCCTTGCATGCCTGAGGCCCTGGGTTCGATTCCTCAGCACCACATAAGCAAAGAGAAAAAAGCCGGAAGTGGTGCTGTGGCTCAAGTGGTAGAGTGCTAGCCTTGAGCTGAAGAGCTGAGGGACAGTGCCCAGGCCCAGAGTTTAGGCCCCACTACTGGACCCAAAAAAATTGAGAGTCTCACAGACTTTCCTGCCCAGGCTGGCTTTGAACTATAATCCTCATATCTCAGCCTCCTGTGTAGCTAGGATTATAGGCATGAGCCACCAGCACCTGGCTATAATGGATATCTTTTGGGGGCAGTCCTGGGGTTTTGAACTCAAGTTCCCATGCTTGATAGGCAGGCATTCTACATCTCTAGCCAACAACTCTAGCCCTTTTTACGTGTAGTGTTTATTTGTTTGTTTGATTGCTTGCTTGCTTGTTGTCAAGTACAGTTTTGCTCCAGCCCTGCCTCTACCTCCTATATCGCTGGAATTGCAGGCATATGCCACCACTGCCTAGCTCACTTGTTGAGATAGGTTTGCTAACTTTTTACCCAGGCTGCTTTCAAACCACAATCCTCTTGAGTAGCGGGATTACAGGTGTGAGCCACTGCACCTGGCTGCAATGAATATCTTCTGTTTCCAAACGGCAAGTATCTCACCTGGCTAGCCTGGAAATAGTCTTTAACCTTTGGCATGAGACCCCCAGATAGTACTTGTGCACAATCTGTCTTTAGAAAGGAAACCACATCTGGACTGCTAGGCTGGGCCCCCCACTAACTGTGAAAGGTGCTAGATGTAAACTTGAAGTATTGTTGGGGCCATTGCTGAAGGGGTAGTTTACTTTAGACTGTGCATTGGGTCTGCTCTCAGTGGCACACAGTTGGCAGAGCTTGGGCACTCTCTACCCACTCATACTCCATTTCTCTCTCTCTCTCTCTTTCTCTCTCTCTCTCTCTTTTGGTCAGTCATAGGGCTTGAACTCTGGGCCTGTCCCTCATCTCTTCAGTTCAAGACAAAGTGCTTTACCACTTGAGCCACAGTACCACTTGTGGTTTTCTGGTGGTTAATTGGAGATAAGCGTCTCACGAACTTTGTTGCCTGGGCTGGCTTTGAACCGTGATCCTCAGATCTCAGCCTCCTTTGTAGCTAAAATTATAGGCGTGAGCCACCGGCGCCCAGCTCCATCTCTTACTCTGTGAAATCTGCACTCAGCTAATCTTGACTGACTTTCTATCACCATCACACCATCTCCAATGCCCTGAGTCTAGAATTTCACCACTGCCCAACAATCTGAGTTTGAGAATTTCCCCAAAATTGTTACTCAACTATATCCCAGCCACAGCACAGAGCTGTGGGGTTTGTTTTGTTTTGTTTCTACCTGGAGCCTGATCTTCCCTGTCTCAGCCCAGCTGACCAGGCTGCCAGTCTCAGTGGCTTGCTGCAGGCCTTCTCTGGATGATATGCATAACTATAGGGAATAAAGTATCCAGGGAACCTAGGGCTGTCAAAGCCACCCTTCCATACATACAGAGAAGACCATAAAGAATGAAGGGAGCCGAATTGAAAGAGAATGAGAAAACCCCCATGAGCTGCTGGATCCAACCATAACTGAAGCTGAAAGCCAGACCTTGCCTTTTCCATGTCAACTACTCTGATTTTTGCCACTTGCAACCAAGTCTTGCTTACCTTCTGGTCAATATCATTGACTCTCTCCTTGGGGGTTAGAATGCCTGTATTTCCTAAGACCTTAAAACTGGAGGGGAATGTTCATTATTGTTGCTGACCGTGATCCCGAGAACCTCCCACTCTCGTCCTCCCTGGCTTGGAAAGGGTCCGCTGCTCACCTGTTCCATCAGCTTCTCTGCCACGCCGGGCTCAGTGAGGTCTTCTGGGGAGGCCACGCCCAGTCGCACAAGGAGGAAACCTCCATCTCCACCTGCAAGTTGAGAACAGAGGATGGAAATATGTTTGAGTCAGTTCTAGCCTCGGCCCCCTCCACACACTGTGTGCACTCCCATGTGTAAACGTGCCTCTATTCACACCAGATGTTACCTATGTTCACCTGGAGGAGAACGGAGGATTCCTTTCCAGAGATCATTACCCTGGAAAGCGTCCTCCCAACCACAGTGAAAGACAGGAAGTGTAAGGAATAGAAAATGGAAGTGCATCTAGAATGTTCTTAAAGGGGCTGGGAAGGTGGCTCAGTGGTAGAGCACTTGCCTTGCATGCCTGAGGCCCTGGATTTGATTCCTCAGCACCACATAAGCAAAAAGAAAAAAGGCGGAAGTGGTGCTGGGTCTCAAGTGGTAGAGCGCTAGCCTTGAGCTGAAGAGCTGAGGGACAGTGCCCAGGCCCAGAGTTCAGGCCCCATGACCGGACCCCCCCCAAAAAAAACAAAGAATAGAATGTTCTTAAAATCTGGAGGTCCTAGAGTGTTGGGTAGAGGTTGGCTCCCTGTAGGAATGCCCCAAGTTCTATGTTGGTAGTAGGTGAAGAGAGAAAATTCAGCCTTCCTAGTTTACCAGCTTTTCCAGAAGCTTCTTTTGTTGAGCCCTAATCTGCCAGCCTTTAACTGCCACTTTATAGTTGCTTTGTTCTATTACAAACTATGAGAATTGCTCTCATAATTGCACTTCTAGAACTTTACCCTACAAAAAGTAGCACACACACATGAGAAGAGCACTATTTACTGCAGTGATGGTTGTTAAAAAAAACAACTACTACTCAGATACTACTCAGGAGGCTGAGATCTAAGGCTTGAGGTTTGAAGCCAGCCCAAGAAAACAAATCTGCAAGACGCTTTATCTGAAATTGATTGCAGAAAGCCAGAAATGGAGGCATGGCTCAAGTCGCAGAGGAGCCATCCACAAGTGAAAAAGTTGAGAAAGAGAATAGGACTTGGGTTCCCAGCCAAGTACCTGCATGGGAAAAAAAAAAATACCAGAAACAACCTGTAGTCCACCTAAATAGGAATGGGGAATTTCTCATCAGTGAGGGTAAATGTTTAGTTTTGTAAGATCAGTTATCTATAATGCCTATAGATAACAATACATGTGTGCTTAAAAATCCAGGAAGAGATGCTGGGTGTCAGCGGCTAACATTTGGAATCCTAGCTACTTGGGAGACTGAAATCTGAAGATTGGTAGGAAAGTCCCTGACACTCTTAGCCCCAATGAAGCACCAAAAATGCCAGAAGTGGAGCAAGCTATGACTCAAGTGGTAGAGCATTATCCTTGAACGAAAAAGCTAAGGGACATAGTGCCCAGGCTCTAAGTTCAAGCCCCAATACTAGCAAAAAGGATCTACCAGGAGGGTACATTCCAGGGTAAGTGTTCTTAGTACAATAAAAAATAAAATAAAATAAAATGCCAAGCAAATAAAATCAGAGGGGAAAAGTCACAAATATGAACTTAAAATTCAATGAAATTAATAAAAACATTTCCTTTCCTTCCTCCTGCAACTGATATCCAGAGGAGTGTAGTTCAAAGCCAGACTGGACTAAATAACTAGCAAAAGCCCATACTGGAGGTATGGCTCCAGTAGTAGAGCACCAGTCAAGCAAACAAGCTGAGAAAGCAAAGAACCACAAGTTTGATCCCTGGTGGGGGGAGGGGGAGAGGGAGGAAAGAAAAGAAAAGAAAAAAAATCACCTTGGGAGGTCATGCCATTGAGCAAGGTTTTTTTGTTGTTTTGTTTTGTTTTTTTGTTTTTTTGGGGGGGGTCCGGTCGTGGGGCCTGAACTCTGGGCCTGGCCACTGTCCCTCAGCTCTTCAGCTCAAGGCTAGCGCTCTACCACTTGAGCCCGCCACTTCCGGCTTTTTTCTTTTTGCTTATGTGGTGCTGAGGAATCGAACGCAGGGCCTCCGGCATGCAAGGCAAGCGCTCTACCACTAAGCCACCTTCCCAGCCCCTGAGCAATGTTTTATTAGGCTTCCACTGGCTTTGATGAAAGTGACACGTGTGACGTGTGGGTTATGGTAAGGGTGGCACAGATTACTTTTCAGACACTAGAAGGCCATGTTTGCTGAAATCACTGATTCTTCACTTGGATCTGCAGATGTCTGATGAGTGACTAAAACAGAGCGAAATACCCAAAGATCAGACATGGGGAATCATTTACCTGCAGTAACTCCTATGGTCTGCCTTGACCAAAAAGTGGCAGGTGTTGATGTCAGGGGCCTCATTGGGGTCATTGGTGAGGCTGTGGTCTTGACAAAGGTGGTGATTGTTTCTTGACTGCTGGTGGCTGTAATCAGGTGGTCAGAAGGGAGAGGGCTCCCACTGGCTGTAGTAGGATGGATAGAAGGGAGAAGGCTTCTGCCGGTGGGAAAGGACCCATTGGTTATACTGTCTGTGAAAGAAGACTCTGAGGGGCTGGAGTTCTGGATGGCAGTTGTGTCTGAGACAAATGAGCATGTTCCAGGTCTGCTGGGGTATGGTGGGGTAATGATGGGAGATATAGTGTTTGTGAAATGAGTCTCCACCGTTGCAGCAGAAAAACTTGTTGGGGTCTCCATGGTCTCTGCTGCAGGGGCAATGGTCAGGGTCCCCTCAAGTCCTAGTGCAGAAGAAACTGTCCCGATCTCCTTGGTCTCTACTACAGGGTAAGTGCTTAGGGTCTCCGTGGGCTCTGTTACTGTGGATATGGTTGGGGTTTCCATGATCTCTGTTGTAGAAGAGAGAATGGACTGGGTCCTCAAAGGCTCTGTGTCAGGGGAAATGGTCAAGGTTCCCAAAGTCTCCGCTGCAGGGGAAATGTGGGGGGTTTCCGTGGTTTCTGATGTGGAGGAGCTGGCTTGGGTCTCTGCTTCAGGGGATGTAGCCAGAGTCCCCAAGGTCTCCACTGCAGGGGAATTGGTGGGGGTCTCCGTGGTTCCTGGTGTGGGGGATGTGGTGTGCGACTCCCGGCTGTCCACTTCTGATACACTGCCTGCTGTGATTATGGTCTTGGGAGTGGTGGCAGTGCTCGGGGTTTGGGCATGGAAAGGATCCCAGCTTGGCACCAAGGACTCATGGAAGGCTCCCTCTGATGTCAGACTTGGTGTTTGGCTGCTGGCAGTTGTAGCTGGATGGACAGAAGGAAGAGAGCTGGCGCTGGCTGTAGCTGGATGGACAGAAGAAGGAGGGTTTCTCCTGGTGGGGAAGGCCTTGTTGGCTGCACTGGCTATACTCCACGTCTCTGAAGGGCTGGAGTCCTTGGTAGTGGCTTGGTCTGAAGAGCTGTAGACTGAAGCTGAGGAAACAGCAAAGGAAGGCCCCTTGGCCCCTGTTGATCCAGCCACCTTGGAGACTGGAAGTGCTCCTGGGACCTCAGTGTGGCTTGATGTCTCAAAGGACAGCGCCGACGTTTCTTCCAAAGGCTTCCTGGTGACTGTCACCCAAGTTCCCCTGGGGTTAGAGACCGTGGCTGCATCCAGGACAGCTGCTGCTGAGGCGCTGGCTGATGACAAGGCCTGGACAAAGGCTGTGGTGTTGGGGATGTATGGTTTTGCCTGGGGAGAGAGGGGCAAAGCTGGTGACTCTATTGTGGACAAGGCCATCTCTCCCTCTGTGGGCCTGGGGCCTATGTCTGAGGTCTCAGAGATGATGGCAGCTGTCTCTATTTTGGTGATGCTACAATTGTTAAACTCGATGTGAGTGATCCTGTAGGCAGCTAAGGCCTTGGCTTGAGTCAAGATCCCAGGTGCCAGATCCTGTGAAGGGCTGAGGACAGACACTGAGCTGTCAGAAGAGGAGCTGCTCTCTGAGGACAGGCTCTCAGCTTTTGTTGGTGTGTCTGCCCTTGTTGAGATGTCACCTTTGATCCAGTTTGCCTCTTCAGAGCTGTCAGAGCTACAAGGGTTAGCAAAGATGGCTTGCATGGGATCTCTGCTTGTACCAGTCCCAGGGTGTGTTCCACGCCCTGTGGGGCTGCCACGTGGGTCCAGAGTCTCCTTAGAAGTGGTCGTCACAGCCATAGTCATAGGAGCCATAATCTTTGAGAGGGTCCTGTTCTCTTGTAGGGGTGAAATGGTGGGGGTCTCTTTGACCCCTGCTGAGGGGGAAATGGTCCTGGTCTCCATGCTCTTGGCTCCTGATCTATTATTTGTTGTGATTAAAGTCTTAGAAATGGTTGGAGAGCTCAGGGTTTGAGTTTGCAAAGAAACATAGCTCCTGAAGAGCTCATGAAGGTCAGTGGTGCGGAGGGCTCTCTCTGAACTTGTCTGGAAACCTTGAGTCATGGCAGTCACTTCTGTATTATTTGTTGTCACCAAAGGGATTGATCCACGGGTGCTAGGGCCTGTGTTGGGTAAAGACAAACTTAATGAGCCAGTAGAGTGACCCTTGTATTTATGCCCTGAGCATTATGGGTAGGAGGGAGGGGAAAGGTCACTGTTAGGAAGAATACAGTCCTGGGTGTTAGCCATGGAGGTAGGGTTGCCCTGACTGGGGTCTTCTAAAACTTTGACAACCCACTTAAAACCAGATAGCTCCAGGATTTCAGAAAGAAAGAAAAAAAAGAAAAAAGAGAAAGAAAGAAAAGAAGAAAGAAGAAAGAAAGAAAGAAAGATCCAAGGGATGTAAGAATTGCAGAACAGAAAGCAGAACTCTCAGAACTTCATGAAATGATCCTTGTCACTCTCAAGAAACTCTCCTCAAATAATAAACACTTCCCATGGAAACATTTTTTTTTAATTTCAGAAGATCTTTAGTTTCATCTTTATTATATTTTTCTTTTTTTCTCTTTCTTTTCTTTTTTTTTTCCAGTCCTGGAGCTTGAGCTCAGGGCCTGGGCACTGTTCCTGACTGTGCTCAAGGCTAGCACTCTCTCACAAGTCACAGCACCACTTCCAGCTTTTTCTGTTTATGTGGTACTGAGGGATTGAACCCAGGGCTTCATGCATACTAGGCAAGCACTCTACCACTAAGCCACATTTCCAGTCCCTATTATATTTTTTCTTTTTGGCAGTACTAAGGTTTTAACTCAGGATCTTGTGCTTGCTCATGCTTTACCACTTGAGCCACACCTCCAGTCCTTTTGGTTCTATTTTTAGGAGAGGGTCTTGTGTGTTTTTTTTTGGTGGGGGGGTCCGGTTGTGGCGCCTGAACTCTGGGCCTGGGTGTTGTCCCTCAGCTCTTCAGCTCAAGGCTAGCACTCTACCACTTGAGCCATAGTGCTGAGGTGTGCCAGATCTGGCAAGTAAAAACACAACATACTCAGTTAAATTTATATCTGTATTTCAGATATATGATACTTGATAATGAGACGGAATCATCTCATATATCAAGCACTGATTTTAGTAGGAGTGTTTCTCCTATAATATTTGAGACATATACAAAAAATATTATTACTCCAAATTGAAACTGAAGGGTATGCCTTGTGTTTTATCTGGGAGCCATGCTCGTAGAAGGAAAAGGGGGGGTCAGGAAGTGGGGATGTGGATCAAGTGGTAGAACTCAGCCTTGAATGGAAAAGCCAAGTGAAAGGACAAGGCCTTGAGCTCAAAGCCCTGAGGCTGGGAAGATGGCTCTGGTAGATTGCTTGCCTTGCATGCAGGAAGCCCTGGGTTCGATTCCTCAGCACCACATAAGCAGAAAAAGCTGGAAGTGTTGTTGTGGCCCAAGCACTCACCTTGAGCTGAAATGCTGAGGGACAACACCCAGGCCCAGAGTTCAGGCCTCATGACCATAAAATAAAAAATAAAAAATAAAAAAATAAGAAAAAGGCCAGGCATGGGTGGCTTTCACCTGTAATCCTAGCTACTCAGGAGGCTAAGATCTGAGGATCATGGTTCATTTTCCAGCCCAGGCAGGAAAATCTGTGACACTCTTATCTCCAATTAACTCTTTTTTTTTTTTGGTCCAGTCGTGGGGCCACTTCCGGCTTTTTTTCTTTTTGCTTATGTGGTGCTGAGGAATCAAACCCAGGGCCTCAGGCATGCAAGGCAAGCGCTCTACCACTGAGCCACCTTCCTAGCCCTCCAATTAACTCTTATCTCCAATTAACCACCAGAAAACTGGAAGTGGTGCTGTGGCTCATGTAGTAGAGCGCTTACCTTGAGCTGAAGAGCTGAGGGACAGCACCCAACCCAGAGTTCAAGCCCCATGGCCAACAAAAAATAAAATAAAAATGGAAAAGGATCAAAATATGAACCCTTTCTCTCCTTCCTTCCTTCCTCCCTCTCTCCTTTCTTTCTTTCCTTTCTTTCTTTCTTTGACATTCTGAGAGTTTAAAGTGGCCTTTGCTGACATCCACTAGTACCTCCATAGCCCAAGGACCCAAAAGAGGCCTAAGGTCTCCACCCAGGAGGTCAGAACAGGGCCCTAGGGCCCTAGTCATTCTTCTGTGGACCTCACCGAGTATATGAGCAGGAGACAAGAGACCAGGTGGCAGTCCCCCGTCTGCTGTCCACTCGTGTAGAGGACCCTCTTGATCTTTCCCAGCCTCCACATGTCACGTGGAGAGGCCAGTTAGAATACTCACCCTGCCAACACCCTGAGAACCAAAGGACGAACGGACTGAGACTGAACACTGATATGCCGAAGCCTAGGAAGGTTATGTAGCTTCTCCCCCACTGACTCCTCAAGTCAAGTTAGCACACTAACTACAGTAAGGCAATGGGCTTTGCAGGCACCCATGGGGTAAGCCAGGGGTCCATGTCCTCATTCCTGTCTGGTGTAGCACAATTATACACACAGTTTTACAGGAGCTGCTTTCCCACTTCTAAACCTGAGCTGTTTCTCCAAGCTCCTAGTTCAAACAACCTCTCCCTCCGCTCCAGAACGTTGCTGCTCCTGCTGGGACCCTGCAAGCTGCCTGGAGAGAAGGCTGTGGACTTTGGGGCCGGATCTGTGTCCCCTCTCTGCTCCTTGCTCTGCTGCATACCAACTGGGTAACCTAACCAGGACTGCAGGCTGCAAGCTGAATACTCTTGTTTGTAAAATGGAGCTCAGAGAACCTATTTCATGGAGACATTTGGATTAAATGAGCTGGAATGAAAAACACAACACGAGCCCAGTCCATTGTGAGTTCATGCAGGAGACGGCGTGGCCAGTGCTGGCTCTGTGGACAACTTACTTAATCTCCTAAGCTCCAGCCTCTTTACTTTTAGAGGGGTGGAGGTGGCAATAAGATTTATCTATCTTATAGGTAAGTATATATGCCTGGAGGCATAGGGCTGTGGTGAGGATTAAAAAGAAAATTTGGGGCTGGGAACGTGGCTTCGTTGCAGAGTGCTTGTGAGCATGGCATGAAGCCCTGGATTCCATTCCTCAGTACCACATACACAGAAAAAGCGGGAAGTGGAGCTGTGGCTCAAGTGATAGAGTGGTAGCCTTGAGCAAAAGAAGCTCAGGGACAGTGCTCAGGCCCTGAGTTCATGCCCCAAGTCTGGCAAAAAAGAAAAAAAAGTATGGTAGCTAGATGTCAGTGACTCTTGAAATCCTAGCTACTCAAGAGGCTGAGATTTGAACAGTCAAGATTTAAAGCCAGGGCAAAAAAAATTCTAGAGACTTCATCTCCAATGAACAGGCAAAAAGCTAGGTTGGAGGTATGCCTCAAGTAGTAGAGAGCCAGTTGAGCAGGCAACTTGAGCGAGTACAAGGCCCTGAGTTCAAATCCTGGTACTGGCAAAAAATGAGAGAGATGGGGGATAGTTGAGAGAGAAATTGAGAGAAAGAGAGCTTGAAAGGGAGAGTCTATGGTGATGTGTTATGGGGTTGGGATCATTGGGTATACTCAATGTACCACTCTGGTGGTGAGCATGGGTAATGAGGAGGTAATATGTATGTGGTAGAGACATGGGTACTCCCTGTGCACTCTGCTCCATTTTACTATGACTCTAAAATTAATCTTTAAAATAGTTTTTTAGCCAGATACAGTGGCTCACGCCTGTAATTCCATCGACTCAGGTGGCAGAGATTAGAAAGATGGATGCTCAAGGCCAGTCTAGGTTAAAAAAAAAATAGGGAGCCATCTCAACTAACAAGCTGAGCCTGGTGAAGTACACCTGTCACCACCAGCTACTCAGGAAGTATAAATAGAAGGATTGATACCGAGGCTGGCCTGGGCATAATAACATGAGACCCTATTTGAAAAAAAGAGCTAAAGCCAAAATGGCTGAGGGCATGGCTCAAGTGGTAGAGGCCCTGCCTAGCAAGCATGAGGCCCAGAATTTAAACTCCAGCACTATCAGAAAGAAAATTTGTGTGATGATAATGAGTTTGGCACAGTTGTTGTTAGTGACAGATTAAAGCCTCCCTGTCTCTCTCATTTTCTTCCCAGTCCAAAGAGTTTATAGAAGAATTCACACAAAAGCCATATTTGGAATGAAATCTGTGCTAGGCAAAGAAGCTGGGAAGACTCAGAATCTTGTTATGCTGCATTCATCAGCTGTAGGCAGAATTCTCACCAGCTACCACCTTCTTTAAGCCTTCTCACCCCACTTATACTGCCAGAGATAACAGTCATAGAGACTGTTAGAATTTGAGCTGCAGTGTCATGCATGCTGAAACTGGCACATACTGCTAGTTGTATACTTATTCCCAATGATAATCCTACTTCACATTTAAACTGGGGTTAATTATGATCCATGAAAGAGCCTATCCTCACCCATGAAGGGTTGCTTATGCTGAATTCATACCCAGAGCTCTCCCAGAGAGAAAGCCTCTTACCTGCAGAGCTCTGTGAGCCTCCAGCCTCCCAGCAGAAGAAAAGAAGGAGCAGAGCCAGGCCCCAGACAGAGCCCATCCTAGCTGTGTACTTGGCCACCACTCACTGCCCAGCAGACCAGCTCTCTGCCTCTCACCACAACCTTTTCCTGGTTCCTCAACCCACGGAGGAGGGGCAGGCCATCTGCCCAGGTGTTGACTGCCTGGGTAGTTTCCAGAGTGCAGCCAAGTGAACACAAATGTACAGGGTGAGAGAGAGCAGGTCAAAGCTGTCCACAAACCAACCGTCCTGTGCCCCCTTGCTCAGTGATCTCTCCTCTGAAGGCTGATTTGAACCGCCAGAATCATTTCCATGTTGATATTCACCCCTGTAGTCCTGCTGCAGGGAGGCTATGACCCGCTGGGCTTGGGCTCCATGAACTTTCTTGGGTTTCATTCCTGATCCAAGACCTTGTTAGCTCTAGGTTTCTGAACCTCAACTTCCTGATCTATAAAGTGGACATAATGTCTACCTCAGTAGGCTGTTATTGTGAAGAACAATACAGTAAAGCTGTACAAGGTTCTTGCTCCACAGTTGGTACTGTTACAGGGTCCAAGAATGAGTCCACCAATATGGACTTAGAGTTTGAAGAAGTTTATTGAAGTGTTGCAGAAGCTGGCCAATCAGGGACACAGTGCAGACTCAGTAGCTAACGCTGTAACCCTGAACATGGACACAAGCTAGGCTTACGAAGGCAAAAACTGCAAGCAGGTGCAACCTGCAAAATTCCAGTAATAGGATAACATCAACTTTTTTTTTTGGTTGGTCGTGGGGCTTGAACTCTGGGCTTGGGTACTGTCTCTGCACTCTTCAGCTCAAGACAAGTGCTCTACCACTTGAGCCACAGCGCCACCCAGTTTTCTAGTCTCACGGACTTTTCTGCCCAGACTGGCTTTGAACCATGATCCTCAGATCTTAGCCTCCTGAGTAGCTAGGATTACAGGTGTGAGCCACCGGCTCACAGGGGACTTTTTTTTTTTTTTTTTTGTCGGCCATGGGGCTTGAACTCTGGGCCTGGGCGCTGTCCCTCAGCTCTTCAGCTCAAGGC